CCTTTCCTTTTCCCCCCCCCCCCCCCCCGTCTCCCCTCAACTCACTCCTGTAAGTCTCTTTATGTTGAATGGTATTAGTACTTTATATTAAATACAGTACATGCCTCATTATAACCATGATAGTTATTTTTATATTATTTTAAGCAGCATAGTCAGGGTGCAGCTATTTTTTGGAGGGTTGGGCCTCTACCTCAATGATAGAGCACAGTGCTTAACAATCACCAAGTCCTAAGGCCACTTCCCAGTGTTACCAATAATTAATTAATTAAGTTTTAGAAGATGTAGCATTTTTTGTAGATCAAAATTTTAAACTAAATATGTAAGGATAGCTTACATTAAAATATCTCTGTGTATGTCTGTTTATTTTTACTCAACTAGTGAATGAAAATGGAACACTCTATTATGGCTTTAGTAGACATGACATTTGTATAAAAAAATGGGTGTGATTTGTTTGGCATGGCAAGATGTCAGCTTTTCCTAAGGATTTTCGTTAATTCTGAGTTAAGCCTGTCTTACCCCATGGCCCAGTCCTCGGGTGAAGCCAGGTCCTCGTTTCTGATCTGTCTTGAAAAACTGATGAGTGAAGTGCTGGGCAAAGAATGCAAACATCATATTTGAGCCTTGGGGATCAGGGATGAACTTTCTCCTTAGAAGAACTTTTTCCAGAACTTCTTTTGAATCAGGAAGCTCCTTATTTCCTGAAACATAAAAACTCAAAAGTAAAAACCCATTCACATATTTGTTGAAGCAAACAGATGGCTGTCTAATTCATGAGAGCATTCGTCACTTCTAAACATAGTCTCACCAATGGAGTTGTTTTGCTTTGATGCACAGTCTTATGCTTATACCCCATGCTGACTCAAACTCCCTCTCTATGCCAGGTTGGCCTGGAGCTTACTGATGAACCTTTGCCTGAAGTCCATCTAATGCTGAGATTACAGGCAATGAGTTACCTTGCCAAGAGTACAAGAATTTTGGGGGAACAACTTATTGAACAGTTTTACCTATTTTAACCAATGCCAATTCTATTTAGCACAACATAATAATGATAAGACATTATATCAAAGTGAAGATTTACTTTTATGGAATAGGCACTTTAAAAATCCTCTGTGGATAGCCATATAAGTTACAGTTTTAAATGAATGAAAAACTAAGGTGCCCTTTCTAAGTGCACACCCAACCATCACTGCAATTGTTACAGCTCTATTTCTTCCCACTCACCTTTCACACCCATGGGAGTCGGGCAGTCATCAGCCACAGGAGGAAGGGCTCTGGTATAGTAGGAGAGATTGGAGAAGGCTTCCCAGCTTTTATAACCATAGTGCACATTGTAAGTTGGTGGACTGTCAATCAAATGTGATCTGGCTGGAATTTTAAAGAAAAAAATTTATTGTCCCTGATATGAAAAGAACAAGTGAATGTTATTTATCATTGTACGACATAGAAGGCACAGAGATGGGCTTTAATTCAGACAAAGATACCCTGCTTTAAAAGGCAACTGAAAATGTGTCTTCAATAAGCTCAAGCCTTACACAGGACCTTATGCTCCAGTAGTCTTTGAGTTTTCAGGTACCACCTACTCCCTGTTCCTGTATCCCAATGACTGAAGCAGCTGGGCATTCAACCATTTGCTTTAAAGGGTGCTGCATGTTCAGAACAATTCTGGGAGCCATAGGTACTCAACAAACAAGACAAGCATATTTCCTCCACAGGAATGAAGGTTGGGTTCATTTCCTGGCTACAGGATCACTTGTCAGTGTTGTGGGCATTTGGAAGGGGAGTATGGAGGGTTGAAAAGGTATATATCAAGCCATTTTGAAAAGGTTGGGAATATTTCTTTGTGTTGGGTTTCTAGTGCATATTTTTGCCAGAGAATGCTAGAAGCAAGGGAGGTTTGTACTTACATGTCAACACATATCTCATGATTGAACTTCGAAGGAAGGGAATGTTATTGACAATGTTCCAGACTCCCTTGAAGTGTGTCAGGATGTAGTGTACTGTGTTTGGGGTGGGCTTCAGCAGCAACTTAATCCTCGTCAGAAACTCAGCTGGAGAGAGAAAGAGCAGGAGGGAGAAATTAGTAGACACTTCCCACATGGCACTAATGTACAAAATGATGGTAACTGCATGTGGCCCCATTCCAAAGGAGGAAACCCCAGGAGAAACTTACGTATAGTGCAGTTTTCCCCGTAGAATCCTGTCCGGGTACAATCACATTTATACTGGTCAAATCCTATGCTCATACATTCACCTCGGTTTTGACAGGGGTTGGAACAGCAAGGATTTGCTACATTAAGAAAAAAAACATAAGAATAAAAATAAGACAGCCTGTAAGTCACTCTTGGTCATCCTCATCTTAACTTAAAGATTTAATTGTGTTACTATAGGTCAAGTTTACAATGGTAAGTTAGAAATACACAGGTAGTCGGGAGGGGGAGTTGGGGGGAGAGACTATTTTAATTAAGTCTGTCTTATCAAATGGCTGTAATATAGACTTAGCAGTTTCTTTTTTCTAAGCAAGAGAAGCAGAGGACCTAACATCATAGCTCACATTATTAACATTTTCACAATAACTTCTTAAATGTTCAGATTAGAACGGTTAAGTAGCACTTTCGAAATTAAAATGGATCGATCTAGTACATTAGTCAAAATTTAGTGTGAAGAAAACCAAAGTCAAACAGTTTACTTTTAACGTTTTGAATATCTTTTTAAAAATGTATTCTGGATTTTCTTGGGGGCAGAAAAGCACTGGCGGGTATTTAGAGTAGTCATTTCTAATCAGTCGCCCCACACCTGCAATTCACATGTATAGATCATATCTTACCATGAAGACAACCCGAAAACTATTGGCTATTGGCTTTTTAAAGCAAATGAGAGTAGCTCTCTGCTCCCCTAAGTAATTGGCCCATAACCTGAGAGCCAGTGACAAAAGCAAGCCATCCTTGCGTTCCTCCTGACCCAAGTGGTCCAGGCTGTTTGCCACTGCGCAGTCCCCGCACTAGAAAAAGGAGGTCTGCGCTGGAAGTCCTTCAGCACCTTTGGGTGCGGGGCCACTTACCTGCATGGGTGAGCGCCAGAGCGGCACAGAGCAGCACAGCTCGGAAGAGCATCTCGGAGGTGGCGGCGGCGGTGGTGGCGGAGGTGGTTGAGCTGGCGGGACGCAGCGCTGAGTTCCTTCGTGGGCAGTCTTCTGACACTCCTGGAGCTCTCCGCTCGCAGTTTGACAACTGGCTGCTAACGGGGAGAACCTTGCTTTTATGCCTGAAAAAGTGGCCCCCCTCCCCCACGTGACGCTGCGGTGACTGGTTCTTTCCGCCCAGTCTTTCCCCTACCCCCAATAGCCTTTCCCCACCCCCTCCGCTTCGGAGAGTTGCGCAAGGCGGGTGGGGGCAGGGCTCTTACCCACGCAAACGGAGACGAGGGAAGCCGGGAAGCTGCCCTCGGCTGCCCCAGGTGGTGCCAAGAGAACTGCGCCGCCCTCCCGCATCCCTCCTGGCGCCCCGAGCGGTTCCTGTGCCCGCGCCCACGCTCACTCTCTTTGGGGTCCCCGGCTTCCTCCCTGTCCCGCATCCAGTGCTCCTGGCGGGGACCAAGGAGCGCTGGGATGTCACGTTCCTCTCCCAGATCCGAAGTCGGAACGCAGGGAATCCCCGCGCCGCCCCCCGCTGGGGCGGTCTGACGTGCGTGCTGCCCAGAGCGCACACACAGCCACCGTTTTTTTTATTTATTTATTTAATTTATTCTATTTTTGATGAAGTGAGGGGTCTGCTGTCAGGGTCACACCGTACTGGTGGGGGTAGGGTGAAGTCTGTCACAGAACAGCACCCAGGCTCCTAGGTCGTAGCCCGCCCATAGCACCGGTGTTTCCAAGGGACAGAGTCTGAGCTTCACTTCATAGGAATGCTAAGTGCCCACGGCATTGCTATAAGGTATTTTTTCCTCTCCCTGCTGCTGTGCTTTTATTATTTCGATCAACAACTCTTTTTACAGGATATATCACTAAAAAGGAATTCTTTCTTTCTTCTTCTTTTTTTTAAACATGTACTTTTTTGACTTTTTCTGTCCACATTTTTTTTTTTTCCCAAGAAGGTGTGTTATGGCCATGGGTCAAAAGATAATACCTATGTTTCTATAACTGGCCTTATTCTGGCTAACCTTCAAACCCCAATTCATTCTGAAACATTGTTAAGAAATTAATTGCATAGAAAGGTGATTTTTGACAGTTTTGAATGTCATTCTGCTGTTTGGTGGTGGCCAGGAAAGGATATATGAGGATGGAATAGTGAAAAACAAGCAAAAATAAGGAAGTTAGGAAACTAAAGAAATCAATTAAAATTTTGTTGTTCTTAGCATGGATGGAGTCTGAAATTAAACTATTTCCTCAGGAAAATGGTTTGAGGCAGACTGGGCAACACAAGACCTAGGCTCAAACAAACCAAACAAAAAATTTATAGAGAGAAAGGAAAAGCAATGAGGGAAAAACCCACGAAAACAACAATTAGAAAACTATACCAAATATCTCAATCTGAGGAAGTCTTGGAGAAATTAAAAATACTCATGGAATTTTTTTCAACTATTTGCTTCATGTGTGTGCTAATTTGATTCTACATGAGACATAGTGACTAAAATTCCATCTCATCCAGCCCTTTGTTCTAGTCATGTTTAATCACTCCATTTCTGGCACTCCCAACCTTTTACACCGATTCCTGTGTGAAATTTCAACTAAATGCACAGATCATTTTCATTTTAGGTAGTTCCTTTAAGTAGTTCTTGGTTTCTGTTTTCTTTTGAGTGGATTGCATGTGCTAAAGCTAAGTTTATTAGAACTACCGAGTTCAATTCTAACTCTTGACAGTGTAGTCAAATCTCACAGTGTAATCTTGAAATGATTTCGAACAATCCCATCCTCTTCTGATGTTAGTTGTATAGCTGCTATGTAGAGAAGTATATTCTGATGCTCTTAAGAAGATTATGACATGGGAAAAAGCAGTGCACGGTGGTGCTGGCCTTTATTCCCAGCACTCAGGAGCCACAGTGAGGATGATCCTGAGGCCTGCCTGGTCTACAGAGCAAGTTTCAGGGTAGCCAGTTCTACACAGAGAAATGCTGTCCCTAAAAAATAAAAAAAGATTATGAATTCAAAAGTGAGGAGAAAACAGGATAGAGAATAGTCACATTAAGACTATTTGAAATGTAAAGACATTGGAACACAATCATAGCGGAAATTTGATTTAAAAAACTGTATGTTTCAATTAGTTGATTTAGTCTGTAATTTCAAATAAAAGGTAAAGAGAGATCTGTGTAGCAATTGAGTCACACAAGAATTCAGGAAGAAACTTGGACCTTGAGGATAAGAGCAATCTTGAAAGGAAGTCCAAATAAGGATGCAAGGGAAAATATTTTGTAATTGTTTGCTTTAAACACATCTGGTACGCTAGAATGAAATACATAGGTACATTTTGAATACTGATTACAGGAGGATATAAAATGTCCCCAAATCAAGAAGGTTTAGCCTGTTTTCTATAGCAAAGAACAGTGGTAATGATGTACTTCAGTAAAATTTTTTATTGTATGGCAGCTATAGCTGTTAATTGTGCAGAAATTTAGTGTTTATCTGTACATTTGGGTACATGTATGTGTCTGTTATACAAAATATATTTTGTTAGTGTCTGAATTTTTTGGGGGGAAACTCTAAAGGAAAATAAGAAAGTATATTTACTTCTTCCAGAGAAATCTGTTGAGTTTTACTGCCCTCTTCTGCTACTTGAATTTTCAGCAACATTCCCCCCCTTAAGATGCTGGTATAATGTTTTTATATAATCACACACACAGTGTTCATGTTAGATTTAAAGTTCATGCATGTACTGAAAATAAGTGACATTTTTGTTGTTGTTGTTTGAGATAGGGTCTCTCTGTGTAGCCCTGGTCGTCCTGGAACTCACTCTGTAGACCAGGATGGTCTCAAACTCAGAGATTTGACTGTCTCTGCCTCCCAAATGCTGATACTAAAGACATGCACCACCACCACCTGGCTAATAAATGACATACTTCTTAATTCAAGCAGTAGCCTACTCATAATAAGTCAAAGAATTATATAGATTGAAAGCAAAAAGGGAAGATACATCATCTTAATATTAATCAAGAAAATATAAAATAGTTCCTTTTATTTTTATATTGAGTACTCTCTAAAGCAAGGAAAAATTAGGAGGAATAAGGAAGAGTATGGTGGTGGGTTTAAGGAAGTCCACAAAACCCAGATGAGTGATTAACAGGTATATATGAGGGGAGCACTCACACAAATGATGGTAAATAACTGCCAAGGTCTTCCCACTCCTGAAAATACAGGTTCTGCCCTTCCAGATGCTCCAACCACAGCCCAAAACAGCGAACCAGCTCCTCCTCTTCCTTATATGGGGTCACATTGGCACACCTGAAGCCACGCCCTTAGGATTAGGACACCACCCCAAGTCTACTGGTGGAACAAGATGCCACTACAAGAGTATTATATTTGATAGGATAGTAAATTTGATAGGATAGGATATTCTTCAAGAAGGTATAATAATCCTTATATACACTAAAAAAAAAGGACATCGATATACATGAGGCCAAAATGAATAAAACTGCAGGGAGAAAGACATGCTGGGCACTGAAGTACTCCTTTATCAGAAATCGACAGGTTTGTTTGGCAGATAATATAAAGGAGATAGCCGAAGTCAGAAGAACTATAAATCAACTAGACATTATTAACATCTAAGGCAGTTTTGTGAAGGATAGCAATATAAACATTCTTCTAAGTTACATGGAACATTCAATAAAATAAACCACATTCTAGGCTATAAACACCTTAACACACTTAAAAATAGTAATCATACAATGTGTATCTCAGGCTAAGGATAAATTAAATTAAAATATGAATCACCAAGAACAATAAAACAGGCAAAATAATGCATGCCTATTATCCCAGTATTTAGGAGGTAGAGACAGGAGGATGAGGACTTCAAGGTCATTCTTGACTACATAGAGAGTTTGGGTCTTAACTATGAGACCCCGCCTTTAAAAAAGTAAAGAAAAAGGAGGGTGAGGGGGAAGAAAAAAGCAAAATGAATCACTAATATCTGGAAAATCCCCAAGTAGTTGCAGATCACAAGATACATTTTAATAACGTAGGCTTCAGAGTGGAAGCTCAAAGGATATTAAAAAATATTTTGAGTCAAGTGAAAGTACAACTTGAAATGTTTAAAATTCAGGAAAAGCAACACTGAAAGTTCTAGCGCTAAATGCGCAGGTGAAAAAAGAAGACTGAAAATCAAAACTTTATCAGAATAGAAAAAAGGAGCAGTTAAGTCCAAAGAACAGAAACAACAGAAATCTGAAAGAATATCAATAAGAGTAAAGCCAGGAAATTAATAGAGAGACTCAACATATTTCAAAAGGCCGATAAAATTGATGTCTCTAGCCAACCCAACTAAGAAAAAAAAATACCAGAAAGGAACCTAATCACAAAGACCTCAGGAAGAGGAAGCTGTCAGAAAACATGGACATTAGGAAAATAATAAAAGTATACTATAAACAAGAGAGTCTGAGACGGAGGGTTGCTGCAAGTTAGAGGCCAGCCTTGTCTGTATAGGGAGTTCAGGCCAGCCAAGGTTATATGGCAAGACCTTGTCTCAAACAATCAACAGCAATATTAAAAATTATATTGACAGCCTTTATGCTTTGAATGGAAATGTACCAATCTATTCTTTCCCTGGCCTCCCTTCCTCTGAGTATATGGTATATGGTATATGGATGTAGTGCCCAAAGATGAGTGTGCAGATGCCTCCTGAATGCATTTGGACATCAGAGCACGTTACATTTGTCTTCCTCTTTTGGAGGTCAGAGCAGGATATCAATGCCTTCCTCTATTGCTCTTCCCCTTGTTTCCTTGAAATAAGGTATTTTACTGAAAAAACAAAACAAAACAAAAACATGCTTTTAGGGCTAGGCTGCCTGGCCAATGAGTTCTTGGGTCCTCCTTTCTCTGCCAGCCAGTTACTGATACTTGTAGCCCTCCATTCCAGCTTTTTTTTTTTTTAAATGTAGGTGCTGGAGATTCAGATTTAGGTTCCCA